AGCCTGGGAACCTGGCAGCCTGTGATTCTGAGGGCATGTGTGCTTGGGAGTCTGGGATTCTGAGAGCCTGGGAACCTGGGAGCCTGGGGACCTGGCAGCCTGGGATGCTAAGAGTCTGGGAGCCTGTGTGCCTGGGAGCCTGGGAACCTGGGAACCTTGCAGCCTGGGATCCTCAGAGCCTGTGTGCCTGGGAGCCTGTGTGCCTGGCAGCCTGGTAACCTGGCAGCCTGGGAACCTGGCTGGGGCCTGGGGACCTGGCAGCCTGGGAACCTGGCAGCCTGGGGACCTGGCAGCCTGTGTGCCTGGGAGCCTGGGGACCTGGCAGCCTGTGTGCCTGGGAGCCTGGGGACCTGGCAGCCTGGGAACCCTGGCAGCCTGGGAACCTGGCAGCCTGGGAACCACGCGGCCTGGGGACCTGGCAGCCTGGGGGGCTGGCAGCCTGTGGACCTGGCAGCCTGGGGGACCTGGGAGCTTGGGGACCTGGCAGCCTGTGTGCCTGGCAGCCTGGGGACCTGGCTGGCAGCCTGGGAACCTGGTAGCCTGGGGACCTGGCAGCCTGGGGACCTGGCAGCCTGGGGACCTGGCAGCCTGGGGACCTTGGAGCTTGGGGACCTGGCAGCCTGGGGGGCTGGCAGCCTGGGTACCTGGCAGCCTGGGTACCTGGCAGCCTGGGATCCTGGAGCCTGTGTGCCTGGGAGCCTGTGTGCCTGGCAGCCTGGGAACCTGGCAGCCTGGGAACCTGGCAGCCTGGGATTCTAAGAGCCTTTGTGCCTGGGAGCCTGGGAACCTGGCAGCCTGAAAACCTGGCAGCCTGGGATGCTAAGAGCCTGTGTGCCTATGTGCCTGGCAGCCTGGGATTCTAAGCAGCCTGGGGACCTGGCAGCTTGGGGACCTCGCGGCCTGGGGACCTGGCAGCCTGGGGACCTGGCAGCCTGGGGACCTGGCAGCCTGGGGGACCTGGGAGCTTGGGTACCTGGCAGCCTGTGTGCCTGGGAGCCTGGGAACCTGGCTGGCAGCCTGGGGACCTGGCAGCCTGGGGACCTTGGAGCTTGGGGACCTGGCAGCCTGGGGGGCTGGCAGCCTGGGTACCTGGCAGCCTGGGTACCTGGCATCCTGGGATCCTCGGAGCCTGTGTGCCTGGGAGCCTGTGTGCCTGGCAGCCTGGGAACCTGGCAGCCTGGGAACCTGGCAGCCTGGGATTCTAAGAGCCTTTGTGCCTGGGAGCCTGGGAACCTGGCAGCCTGAAAACCTGGCAGCCTGGGATGCTAAGAGCCTGTGTGCCTATGTGCCTGGCAGCCTGGGATTCTAAGAGCCTGTATGCCTGGGAGCCTGTGTGCCTGGGAGCCTGGGAACCTGGGATTCTAAGAGACTTTGTGCCTGGCAGCCTATGTGCCTGGGAGCCTGGCAGTCTGGGATTCTGAGAACTTGGGACCCCAGTCTTCACTGAAACCTTGGTATGGCTTGGTTGGCCTGTCCGCAATGCGCTGTGTTGCACAGACAGGCTGGCAGGCGGAATGCAGGACAAGGGCATAACCGGGTGCGGGGCCTGGTGACATGCGCAAGCTGTGCGCCAGCTCGGATGCCATACAATGGCCTCTTTCCACCGCCAAATGATCATTTACCCAGTAGAGCATTCATTGTGCCATTCAGAGCCGACAAAGGGATGGAACGACGTGTTGGGCGTGACGGTCAGTTTTTGCTGAATCCCTTTCACTAATGCCCAGTGCTTGTGGCCATTGCAATGACCTTATTGCATGATTCAATTGTTCCAGTGCGTTGGTGTTATTTAAGCAGGTTACATAAACAGGTCATTAGAATGTCCGCCGCGCGCCTTGGGATGTTGTCTTTTTTCTTTCGATTGCTTTCTCCTTTTATGCTAGAAGCCTTTTGACTATGTGCGTCACAATTTTGGGGTTAGTTTCTCCTGGCGAGTGTTTTGCGCGTTAATTGCTTGCCAAGGAGTGCAAGCTGGAGCATTAATTATTAGCGTCTCATGAATCATCTACATACAGATGTTTTGGAGCTTTGGACCATCGTTTCCATGACCGTCCGCTAGGCGTCCGCTGGAATGGTCAGGATGTACGGCGTTGCGGACAGGGGACCGTCCGCCAGCGGGGTATATGTGGTGAACACCCGACAAATAGATCGGTACTTGTATCATTATTGCTATCACGTGGGTAATAATAATAATAATAATAATAATAATAATAATAATAATAATAATAATAATAATAATAATAATAATAATAATAATAATAATAATAATAATAATAATAATAATAATAATAATAATAACAATAATAATAATATGGATCAGGGCTTGGTGATGCCCCTGGAACTTGCCGCTGGGGCTGAGCATACACGTCAAAACATGCATATATAAATACATGGAGAGAGTGATCGTCGGCGTCCACAATATAACTCGTCTCTCCTTCCTTCCCCCACCCCACCCACCCCACCACAACGACCCCGGGGCCTCGTTTAGTCCAAAAAGGAAAAGTAATCCCGAACAAGCCAATGCAACATCTCCCTATCGGAAGGCAAATCACACCAAGCATAGTAAAGGACTCAAGGACAGCAGGTTCCCTCTTCCTTGGAGTCCCCGCAACCATTCATATATACATACGTACACACATACATACATACGTACGTACATACATACATACAAATGTACTCTTCCTTACGTGCATTTCATCCCCATTCATTGAATGAACGGTTACGGTGCTTGTCTACCCAGCGGGTAGCGTCCTCAATCAGCGAGAGAAACACACACACACACACATAACGAAGAAACCTCACAATTTATCAAAAGTGTCATCATGTTCCAAGGTTGGATTGAGACCAGACATATGGCGATGGCCGCACATGAACCTGCCGTATGTGTGTGTTTGTGTGTGTGTATGTGTACCGCCATATGCACACACACGTGCACACTCTTTCCGCAATTTCCCTCTTTCCCCCTCACTCTCCATTTCCTTTCCTCTCAATCCTCCCAATCCTCCTCCAAGAATTATTCCGGTCTGCGCTTCACCCTTACCTCACCACGCCTGGCCAATCGTCTTATCTTCCAATGCTTTCCACCCTCCTAGGCCCCACGCCCAAGCGAGCACTCGTCCAGGCCAGCAATTGGCGACTCTTCCGCACATCCCCAAATCGAAACCTGCGAGGAACATTCGGGTGCCTGTTGTTTGTGGCGCGCCTGATCTGGCTGCTGCTGCTGCTGCTGCTGCTCCACCTGTTCTGGATCCACTGCCGTCGCCGCTGCGACGGCAGCATCGGCAGCGGCGGCGATACAGATGCTGGTGCTGCCTGCCTCGTTCAGCGGTGATATGGCGTCAGCGCGCGCCACCGCCGCCAGCATCAGCTCCCAAAACCCCGCCACATCCACTCGGAGTGCAACGTTGACGTTGGGCGGCTTGGAGGACTGGCCCCACACGTCGCACACGGTCTGGCCGTACGACAGGGACGAGCACGTCTCCACGTCGACGCGCATGCGGCGACACTCGAAGAGCTCGGGTCGCGCAACATATGCAACCGCAACGGGGTCCTGTGCGAGGGCGGTGTGATATTTGTTAAGGCGGGAGCCTCAAGAATCAGGGAAAGCGTACGTATGTGTGTATGCACGTATGTGTGTATGCACGTATGTGTGTATGTACGTATGTGTGCACCACCACCCCTACACCTACCACCACCCCTACAATATCCCAACTCAACGTCCACTTCAACCAACACCCCACAACCCACATCTGACTTCCAAAACACATCCTAGACTCTGTGTTAGCTGGTACATAGTACGGCACACGTGACGTCTACAAGACGCGCTCCACCAGCATCTTAAAGAGGCCTTTTCAGCGGCGGCCAGCTACAACAGACTCTTTTAACTCCTCTAGTACCCCCCCCCTCGCCTGCCCCAAACGCACGTGCAAGGGAGGGTGTTCGAAATGAAAGACGCGCTTGTAAGTGTTGGCAAAGAACAACAGTAGTTGCTGGACTGTGTGGCGGAAGCGGCTAGTGGCGGGCGGGAGGATCAGCGACGTCTGCGGCGGCGGCGGGGACGGAATAATAGGCTGAGGTACCGCCGCCGCCGTCGCCGCCGCCGCCGACACCAGACCTGGTACCGGTCCTGCTGCCCTTGTACTGTCGTCGCCGCTGTCGCCACTGCCAATGGCAGCTAACACCCAAGGCGTCGCCAGAACTGTGTGTGTTACCTGCGCCCGGTCAGAGAGAGAGTGAGATGAACAGGTAGATGAGATGTTCGGCGATCCACGGATGCAACAGGGCACTCGAGGATGCAACGGTATCCCGAGGTGAGGAAAACGATGTGGTGGGTGACGCGGGGAGGCAGAGGACGGGCAGCGGACATCGGTCTGTACGATGAGGTTCAGGAATTTCGAACAAGGGGAAATGGTGATGAGATTGATATTAACATTGCTGATGATGATGATGATGATGATGATACTGATGATGATGATGATGATGATGATGATGATGATGATACTGATGATGATGATGATGATGATGATGATGATGATGATGATACTGATGATGATGATGATGATGATGATGATGATGATGATACTGATGATGATGATGATGATGATACTGATGATGATACTGATGATGATGATACTGATGATGATGATACTGATGATGATGATGATGATGATACTGATGATACTGATGATGATGATGATGATGA